ACATCATGTTTAATGATTGCTTTAAACAAAATGGCTGTATCACAATGTACTTACCCAGTTTCCTTGTTAGAGATTTGAATTGGTGACCATCTTTGTAGATACATTTAAACATACCTGTGATTGCCTTGGCAACCCAAGGAGGGGTTGCTATGAGTTGTGTCTGACTCCAGGACACATAACAACAACAACAACAATGTATCATGCAGAGAATTTTAAGTTGCTCATCCTCCAAGTTGTCAGGAAAAAAAATACATCTCTCTCTTTTGACTTGTTGATTACTAATGAGGTTAAACTTTGTTTGTTTATGACAATTAGTATTTATTGTTTAGTGACTTTATTGTTTATGTCTCTTACCCATTTTTCCTAATGGGATGTTCATTTCTTAACTGATTTTGTAAGAGCTCTTTATGTCAGCAATCCTAACATTGCTGTGTCTGTTAAAGATTTTTCATTGGTTTGTTTTTTCTTTTGGTTTCATTTCAGGTATTTTTAGCTGTTACAGATTTTTTTCTTCTGTTTGTTGCTTTCTTTTGGTTTGTTTTTGATGTATTTTGGCTTATAGAAATTTCAAATTTAAGAAGTAAGGTATAGCCATATTTGTCTTGATGATTGCTGCTGTTCTATTAATGTTTAGAAAGGGTTTCCCTCACTCTGTGGTTATGTATGTAAGTTGCCATATATATTTACTTTAGTATTATGGGTTCAAGGAGGGTGGGGGACAGGAAGCAGTGGCAGACAGGGCCAGTAGAAACAGGTAGGGGGAAGCCCAGGAAGTGAGCAGAGTGGTTGGAACAGCTAAGGGAGATGAACTTCTCTGTTGGTTTGTCATACTGTGGTGGCTTGGGTGTTGCTGTGAGGCTGGAAGCTGTACCAGCAAGGATGCCTGTCGTGGACCAGTTTTCTTGGAGCTTCCAGACTGAGACAGACTTGGAAGAAGGAAGAGACCATCCACTTCTCAAAGAACTGGCCAGGGAAAACCTTATGAATAGTAGTGAAACATGTCTGCTATATTACTGGAAAATTTTATGAATAGCCCTGAAACATTGTTGAATACAGTGCCAGAAGATGAGCCCCTCAGCTCAGAAGACACTGAAAATATGACTGGGAAAGAGCTGCCTCATCAGAGTAGAGCTTACCTTAATGATATGGATAAAGTAGAGCTTTTGGGGCCTCCATTTGCTAAAGTAGCATGACTCAATATGGGAAGAAACAGCTGCAAACATCCATTGATAATCAGAACATGGAATGTACGAAGTATGAATACAGAAAAATTAAAAGTTGTCAGAGATTAAATGGAACGCATAAAGACTGATATCCTAGGCATTAATGAGCTGAAATGGACTGGTTTTGGCCATTTTGAATCAGACAACCATAAGTCCTACTATGCCAGAAATGACAAATTGAAGAGGAATGGTGTGCCTTTTATCATCACAAAGATCTATAGTGAAGTACAATGTTGTCAGTGATAGAATAATATCCATACATTTGTAAGGAAAGCCAGTTAATACTATGATTATTCAAATTTATGCACCAACCACCAAAGCAAAAGATGAGGAAATTGAAGATTTTTACCAGCTTCTGTAGTCTGAAATTGACCAAACATGCAATCAAGATGTACTGATTATCACTGGTGACTGAAATGCAAAAGTTGAAAACAAAGAAGAATCACCAGTAGTTGGAAAATTTGGCCTTGGAGTTAGAAGTAATGCTGGAGATCACATGATAGAATTTTGCAAGACCCAACAACTTATTCATTGCAAATACTTTTTTACAACAATAGAAATGGCAGCTTTACACGTGGACTTTGCCAAACGGAGTACACAGGAATCAGACTGACTATATCTGTGGCAAGAAGCTATGGAGAAACTCAATATTTTAGCCAAAACAAGGCCAGGAGCTGATTATGAAACAGACCATCAACTGCTCAAATGCAAATTCAAGTTGAAGTTGAAGACAATTAAAACAAGTCCATGAGAGCCAAAATAATGGCTTTGATTATTATCCCTCCGGAATTTAGAGACCATTTAAAGAATAGATTTGATGCATTGAACACCAGTGACCAAAAACCAAAGGAATTGTAGGATGACATCAAGAACATCATCCATGAAGAAAGCAGAAGATCATTAAAAAGACAGGAAAGGAAGAAAAGGCCAAAATGGATGTCAGAAGCGACTCTGAAACTTGCCCTTCAGCGGAGAGTAGCTAAAGCAAAGGGAAGAAAAGACCAGATCAAAGAGCTAAAGAGAAGGTTTCAAAGAGCAGCTCGAGAAGGCAAAGCCAATTATTATAATGAAATGTGCAAAAACAAGAAGTTGGAAAGCCAAAAGGGAAGAACACACTCGGCATTTCTCAAGTTGAAAGAACTGAAGAGGAAATTTAAGCCTTGAGTTGCAATTTTGAAAGATTCTATGGGCAATATATTGAATGATGTTTCAATATATTGAAACATCAAAAGAAGATGGAATACACAGAGTCACTGTCCCAAAAATAATTGGTTGATGTATCATCCATTTCAGGAGGTGGCATATTATCAAGAACCAATGGTATTGAGGGAAGAAGTTGAAGCTGCACTGAGGGAAATGGCAAAAAACAAGGCTCCAGGAATTGATAGTATACTCATTGAGATGTTTTAGCAAACAGATGTCACACTAGAGGCACTCACTTGGCTATGCCAGGAGATTTGGAAGATGATTGCATGGCCAACTGACTGGAAAAGATCTGTATTTGTACCCATTCCAAAGATAGGTGATCCCACAGAATGTGAAAATTATCGAGCAGTATCATTAATATTACATGCAAGTAAAATCTTACTGAAGAGAATTAAAAAATGGTTATAGCAGTACATTGACAGAGAACTTCCAGAAATGGAAGCTGGATTCAGAAGAGGACATGGAACGAGGTATATCACTGTTGATGTCAGATGGATATTGGCCGAAAGCAAAGAATACCAGAAAGATGTTTACTTGTGTTTTATTGACTATGCAAAAGCATTCGATTGTGTGGATCATCACAAATTATGGATAACATTGAGAAGAATGGGAATTCCAGAACACTTAATTGTGCTCATGAAGAACTTGTACATAGACCAGGAGGGTGTTGTTCGAACAGAACAAGGGGACACTGCATGGTTTAAAATCAAGAAGGGAGTGTGTCAGGGTTGTATCCCTTCACCATACTTATTCAACTTGTGTGCTGAGCAGACAATCCAAGAAGCTGGAACCTGGCATCAGGATTGGAGGAAGACTCATGAACAACCTACGTTATGCAAATGACACAACGTTCCTCACCGAATGTGAGGATGATTTGAAACACTTACTGATGAGAACTGAAGACTACAGTCTGCAGTATGGATTACACCTCAGTATAAATTAAACAAATCTTCACAATGGGACCAATAAGCAGCATCATGATAAATGGAGAAAAAAAATTTAAGTTGTCAAAGACTTCATATTACTTGGTTCTACAGTCAACACCAATGGAAGCAGTAGCCAAGATACCAGACGTCATATAGCAGTGGGCAAACCTATTGCAAAAGCCTTGTTTCAAGTGCTGAGGAGCAAAGATGTCTCCTTGAAGAGTAAGGTGTGCTTGACACAAGCCATGGCATTTTCAGTTGCCTCATATGCATGTGAGAGCTGGATAATGAAAAAGGAAGATCGAAGAAGAGTCAATACTTTTAAGTTGTGGTGTTGGCAAAGAATGCTGAAAGTACCATGGACTGCTAAAAGAACTAACAAATCTGTCCTGGAAGAAGTGCAGCCGGAATGCTCCTTGGAAGCAAGAATGGCAATGGCCAGACTTTGTCTCACCTACTTTGGTCATATAATAAGAAGGGACCATTCCCTGGAGAAGGATAGCATGCTTGGCAAAGGGGAGGGACAACGAAAAAGGGGAAGGTTCTTAATGAGATGGATTGACACAGTGTCTGCAACGATGGGCTCAGGTATAGCAAAGATCATGGAGCTGGCACAGGACTGGGCAGTGTTTTGTTCTGCTGTGCATGAGGTCATTGTGAGTTGGAGACAACTCAATGGCACCTAACAACAACATTATGGTTTCATTTCTTAGTTCAAATTTTTAACCCATATGAAATTTACTTTGACTTGTGGTATTTTGGAGGATCTATCACTTTTCCCCCACTGACTTGAAAGGCTAACCTTATATTCAATTTTGGAATGTATTTTGTCAGTTTTTGACTGCTCATTCAGTACTTTTCGTCTACCTATCTTTCATTTCTTGTATTATGTAGTTAATTGTAGTTTTAAAATAATGTGTCACTATTTACCTCAATGGGTCAGTAATACTTTTCAGAAATTAATCCTTGAGATAAAATTTAGAATCCTTTTTATCAAATTGGTTGGGAATGCCTTACTTTATAGGATAATTTCTGGAGACTCAACAACTTGGAAGTCCTAAATACTTGTGATGTGCTGTTTTTCTCTTTACAGTCTTCTTTCTTATCCTCAGAGAACAGTTTTAAGGCTCTTCTTATATAGTGTAAATATTTTTTTATTATTCTCAAGGATTTTATGTTTTGATGGCTATTATTAATGACCTTTTAAAAATTTTTACTATAGTTTCTAACTGATGATACTCTTTGATATTTAATCTTGTCCTGTCTACAGGTGAGTAAATGAATGAAGTAGTGAACAAACAGATGTATATGTTAGTGCTGCTTGAAAATAATCATTCTTACATGTTAAGATACTTAATTTGGTCCAACTGTATAGACAGGCAGTAATGAAACAGATATGTATGGAAGATGAGAGGCCACCATGTCGTTGCTTAGAGTGCTTTTTTGCCACTCCCTTAGAGGACTGAAATGTGCTGCATAATTTTGGAAAGAGGGAATAAAATGTCCAGAACTAAGCATTAAGAACTCCAGTACCTTGCAAATATATATACACTTTCAGAATAATGTAATTAATCTGAATTTTTGGTCCCTAGTAGTAAATCACAGTGTCACATTCTTACTAACCAATATAACTTCTTTCTTACAGATTTCAAAGACAACTATCTGAACCCTGCCACCCTTTCCCTCCTCAGTCAGGAGTTCCTGGAGATAATCGCCCCAGTTACCACCGGCAAATGTCAGAACCTATTGTCCCTGCAGCTCCCCCACCCCCTCAGGGATTCAAACAAGAATACCATGACCCACTCTATGAACATGGGGTACCAGGAATGCCGGGGCCCACATCACATGGGTTCCAGTCACCAATGGGAATCAAGCAGGAGCCCCGGGATTACTGCGTTGATTCAGGTTAGCATAAAATCAAGCCATTCATTTTTTCCTTCTCTCGTTCATCTGTCTTGACCTTGTTATTGAGTGTCTTCTCTGTGCACAGCTTTGGGGAATAGTTTTATAAGCATTTCTGTCAAAGAACTTAGAATGTAGTAAAGCAGATATGTTTATGCATAACTGAACAAAACGTAACAGAAGAGCCATGTCAGCGGAAGGACTGCAGTAGACATTCAAAAGTGGCACAGGGTTCACCTCTGAGCCCCAGCCTAAAGAGTGCTGGGGTCCAATCTTGGTGGTGTCCTTTTTAAGATCTAATAACCTTAGGGCTAGTGGACACAGGGCATATCATTCATGTATTTCAGTCTTGTCTCTAGTTTTGTGGCTTTCTTTTTGCGTACTGGCAGTCCCAGAGTTACAGATGTCTGACTTAGGACAGCCCAGGACAACTCCTACTTGCCCTTTAGTGTTACATAAATTTGCTTTCTCTTTGAAACTATTGAACCCCTACTCACAACAAATGCTTCATCACAGTCACCTTCACTTGCTGCATGTGTAGCTTTTAAATCATTTAAAGTCTTTGAGCCTTTTCTGGCACTAAAGTAAGGCTACTGAGACTATGGCCCTTAGATAATCTTCAGGCTTGGAACTGAACTCACCCTTGTGACTCAACTTTGAACCAAACAATAGACCTATGAGGTGAACAGTAACACCAGGAAGGTACATACTCCTTAGAAAAAATCAACCATATGAGATTTAAAGGGCAGCATTTGTCCAGGGATAAAGCTCAGAAGGCAGGAAGGGACAGGACAGAAGGATGAATGGAAATGGTAAACACAGGGAAGAAATGGGAGGAGTGCTGTTATGTTGTGGGGATTGTAATGAATGTCACAAAGCAAAATGTGTATGAATAGTTGAATGAAAATCAATTTGCTCTGTAAACTTTCATCCAAATCACAATGAAAAGTTAAAAATACATAAATAAATAGAACATACCACTGCCATGAAGGAGAACTGCCCCATAGGGTTTCCAAGATAGTAAATCTTTATGGAAGCAGACTGTCATCTTTTTCCTGCAGAGCGGCTGGTAAGCTCCAGCCAGCCAACCTTTTGGTTAGCAGCTGAATGTTTTAATCACTGTACCACCAGAAAAAAAAAAAAAAAAAAA